GTAAGAAGTAAAATACTGCCCAGAGCAATCTGGGAAATCCTCTCGTCAGCCTGCCAAGATCCTTTAAAAATTACTAAATACTGTTACATACAAAAACCCCACTTCACCTCTCTTACCTAATATGAAGCCTCGAGGCTTTAAAATTACACTTGACCTTAAAACCTACTATTTAATGTAATTTAATGGAAATTGTGCAGGAAAGGTGGAAATTTACCTCTAGGACTAGAGGAAACGTTAACCTGCTTATCATGAGAAAATGAACACGGGTCTCAGAGCACCATATTCATAGCAAACTATCACCCAACACAGGACAACACAACACTGCACAGAAGCGTGCTACAAATGGAGTACCTGTTAACACGAACATATTCAAAACATAGCTAGCTTGCTGTCCCCAGCTCAGAAGCGGATACCTGTCGACTGTCAAAGGCTTTTTATGCTCTCTAACTCATTGATCACAATCTTTTGCATAAGTCTTCTACAGAAGTGAGCAGGTAGAAGACTCACTGCGTGTGGGAGAGAGTTAATTAGAACCAAAGTGTCCTTAAGACATTACGGAAAGGTATTTCAGGATAATTTAAGGACCACAGTAAGGTTATTTTTTAAATTAAGTCTAAATTATCAGATATTTACCATTTCAGCAGAGACCAAATAGAAAACTATGATTATTAACCAAGTGAAAAAAGCGTATCAAGCCCTTTTACAATGCAGGCTCTCATTTCAGTCTCAGGCCAGCTCCTCTGCTACCGTAACTTACACGCACAGGTATCCGAATGTTTTCGTTTCCCCCATTCAATTCGGATGAGATATACATACCTAGACAGGATACGATATCCTCCACATCTGTGAACTGCTACATTCTGTAATTAAACTGATGAGCCTGATTATAGGTCAGAGCTGATGTCTAGAACCAGGCTACGTAAGATGATTTTGTCAGTGTTTCCAAAACCTGACCTGTAATGTTATAAATGTGCACATACAGTCTTATAACACTGCCAGAATCGGGCCACCAGTCATTAAACAGTATACTTCAAAAAAAAAAAAAAAACAAACACGACATGTCCCCCAACCAAAAAAGCTGATATTTATTTAGGCATGCATTACTGTGCTTAGGAATTAAGGACCATGATTTCTGAAAATATAATAATTAGAAAGCAGCTCTGATGTAGACAGCCGTTTTTACACTGAAGTGCAAAGCAAAGACCAGTGCTCTCACGCTTACGCAATTACTTTTGAGCATGGCTATCCAAAACACCAGCATATGTGTTCTTCTCAAAATATTATTAAAATAAGAAGCATTTCTTGGCTCATTTCACCTTGCTGTTTTCATCCATACAGAGCTACAGACTCCACTTTAAGTTAAAGATGCTACAATCCTAGGCAAGTAGACAGAATTTGCCAGTTCTTTACCTTGAAAGATGCTGATGCCAAAAACATATACACAGAATGGACTCTCCTGGCATGCTAGTTAAGACACTTGGGATCTTCATCCTTGTTTCTCCCCCTACTGTTACTACACAAGACCCGTCTACTTCAAGCTGAATAACATATAGTAAAATTTCAAGAGTTTAGTATCTCATTTGTACACCTTCCTACTCTCCTCCAATCTTTAATTTTGATTATTTGAATTTTCAGGTGCACAGACAGGCTGCTCGCTTTGAAGCTTGCGATGCCTGTTCTGCAGACAGACCTTTGTTTGGAAGCAATGAAGCAACAGCACACACTGCATCACTGAACCAGCAGAATTCGCTACACTGTTTTCTAGCATCTCATATGGAGACCACTTCTGATCACATTTATCTACTACAGTTGATCAAGTTTATCTACTACTGTTTCTGTCTTAAAATAAGTTCTAGAAAAATCAAGTTGGAATTGACTTTGAAAGTTTTACTTAAAAGTTCATTTGCACGTGGAGAAGGCAGGCTCAAGTCCTCTGCAGGCTTCACTGAGCTGCACATAGTTGCGGATACTATGATTACTACACGAGAAAACCGATGTCATTGCCAAAAAAGTCTTAGAAGTTCAGAGTATGTAAGATACCCCCTTCTTTTCAGCAACCCTATCCACATAAAAAGATCACCATCGAAAGTTCAGTGTTTACTACACTATAAATACATCATCATAATCTCAGAAATTATACTTTTAGGCAAAGAAGTCACAATTAATAAGTATTTAGTTTTAGATCTTTTATGAGCAAAGATGTTTTAATGTGTCACATTTCAAGAGCATGAATCTTTCTTTACAAGAAAAGAAAAAAATCACTTCATAGATCTGGAGCTAGAGAGGTCCACAAGATTTTCTGCAAATTAAAAGTGCATGGAATACATGCATCATCCTTCATACATAAAATATTTTGCAACAGGATTGAAAACACAGTAAGTGTTAAACAATATTTAGAGTTAAAAGTACCTGAAAAGAATCTCTCTTTGGAGAGAGAGATCAATTGAACATCCTCCTGGACAGCTGTGCAAGTTCTCAACAAATGCTTTTCTGTACAAGTGGCTTAAAAATCACACAGCAAGTTCTGGAATATTCAAAACAATGATTTGATAGAACAAACATTCTACAGTTACCTCAATTCCGTATTATTTTGTTACAAACGGTTATCATGGCCTAAGCCCTGTGCATTGGTGCCTGGATTCACGGCCTCATCCATGCAACACTGTCTGTCTCAAGAAATCAAACTTTAGCTCTTGTACTAAAGCCCAAAAGAGCGACTGAATAAATTCAGCAGCTTTTCCGGCACTGAACCCCTTCCCTCCCATGTAATTTGACTCATTCAAATTTCAGATATTAAGTAGCAGACTTAACAAAGAGAGGTCATGTATAAGCAGCACAGTCAAAAGCTACATCAGATGTAGGAAGACTAGCGGTTGAAAAATGTGTTGAGCATCTTCAAAGGCAGAAGTTTCCAACACCACTGCTAGAGAGAAAGAGGAAAAAGATTAAAGTGAAATTAAAATATTAAGTTTGTCATTTCAGTAACTGTGTTTTATCACTCCATATAGAATAAAGCAAAATAGTTTACTTATGCAGTGATGAGGGAAACTTGAGAAACTAAGTCATCACCTGTCCCTTGACAGATCAAGTCCAGAAATCAAGACTGGTGTTTTAAAAACTTCGCTTTTCCTAGCCTAAAAACGCCAAAGTTTTAACGTATAAGTGCTATTTGCTATTATTTTCTAAAACCAGAATTATATTTGCATCTTAATACAGGTGTGTGTGTTGGAAATTCAATAGCAATAAAATTGAGTTGAAAAAAACCACACTGCATAAAAACTATCTGGACCTACACACTGGCTAGTACACCAAATTAAGACACAAAGGGTAGAAGTTTTTAATTTGCCTACTGAGCTGCATATGGAGCTTATTCTATAACTATTCTCTGACTACTAGAAAGCAGGCAGAACTATGACTAGACTGATTATTAGCAGTTATCTGACCAGACGTAACTGGTCTGAAAGGGAAACAAGCAGCTTAGCACATAATAAATCATTTCATCCATTTTCCTATGAACAGTTAGGAAGTTACATTTTCCTCTCTTGCACTCAACGAGCAACAAACCTGATTATTTAAATTAAGAGGAAACTGAATCTACAGCTATCTTAACCAGGCACATATTTAGATGGACACCATTAACTCATTCGCCACCATCGTGACACGTTCACTTAAATTGTAAATGCAGTAGTTTCTTCCACTTCATCTATGTAGAAATGTTCCTCAGAAAGGAATTATAATGCAGAAACAAATATTATCCATCCAGGTGGACTTGACATTCTAGCACTGACAGCCTGCTGACAGACATAATGAAATAGCAAAGACACTCCATGATTACACATATGGCACAGCAGCCAGTGGAGTGAAATAAGAGCCTTCCAAATCTGAGCTAGCAAGGGAAAAAAAATTACTTACTTTAGAAGTTTTTATAACAGTGAGTATACCTTGCAGTAAATATACTCTTGCATCTGGCTACACTATTTATTATTAAGGTCCATCATTTTCACATGAAGTCCCTTAAAGAAGTAGATACTATCACTAAACAATAGTTTTGTTCCAGCGGTATCTGATGATTAAATGACTGAGCTTTATACATGTCCTTGTGCATAATTAGGCTACAGTAATCAAATTCTTTTTGAAAAACCCTACCACTAACATACCAGCACCAAAGCACGTAGGCATTGCAGGCTCAAATCTGTTTGACACATGTATAACACCTGTTTACGATGACAGAACAGCAGGTAAGCTTCCAGAAATACCTTCCTATCTAACCCCGTTCCATCAGACCTGGGGTTTCCTGGCTTTTGCCAGTGAAGTTACTTCCATGTCCATGCACACAAACTCAATGAATATTGAATGTACTTTTGTGGAGAGAAAAGACTAAAATTTACTCACATCCTAGACTGACACTTGCTTCTTTTATAAGTATGCATATAAATCTGCTTTGGGTGAATTCATTTAATAGGAACATTTTAATTTGTTCCTGAAGCTCCTGACCAAACTTACGTCGCCTTTGGTCCCTCACCCTAAAAACAACCTCCCATTCATCAAGCCAACAGATGTTAGAACTACAAATGTGCAAAAGACTTCTAAAACACTGGCTTCCTTTGTGAAAAGACTATTTCAAAGTAAGTGTAATCTATAATAAGTGCAACCTTCCTTTCTGGAAATCGAGCTACGGCCATGCCATGGTAGCCTGACAGGCAGGTCAGAACCAGGGGCAAACCTAGACCCTTGCAGTGGAACTCAGTGCCAAACCCAGAACCTGGCTTAAATGCTGTATTTAGACTTGACCACAGTATTACCATCACATCAGAAAGGGGTGTAAATACAGTTGCAACTCAAGCTCAAGCTCAACATTCTTGTCAGTAAGAATAATTGAGTAAATCTATACTGACCAAGTGAGTTAATTTTGGTAAAAACGTGACCGCCTTTACTGACTACACTTCACAGGCTAAACTATCTGGCTAGCCACGGATTCTGCTTTCTATTTCTCCTGTGCGTTGTTTTTCTTTTCTGATCTACAAGTTATCTGAAAACTAAAAGCAGCACAAGAAATGCATACACACAGGGTACACTTTCAGAAATTCTTTCATTTCTGCCCGCTAGAATATAACTGGAATAACTGACATGTCTTGACATCTGCTTAGGAACACTTGCGACAGGTAAAATAATGCTTATTATCTACAGGTATCTTATCCAGCAACTTTCTTCCTAGTCATGACTATTTGTGAAGTGCGCTGTTGCTAAATGAGCTATTTACAAATGTAAACTATGTAATTAAAGTTTTAAAATAAATAGACAACCTTTACATTAGGTAGCAACTCAACAACAAGGTAATAGATCATCCAATTACATCTTTCAAACAAAACAATCTGTGTATGCTGCTTGATTTTTTCTTTTAAATGAAGAAAATCCTTGGCTCACAATCTCGTCTCCAAGAACTTCCTTGGTTTTCTTCCTTTACGCTGGATAATTGTGTAAAAACTCCTTAAGTTTTGTCGGATAGTCTGTCATCACTCCAGTTGCTCCCAAATCAAATGCCCTCTTGTATTCTTGTTCTTCGTTCAGTACCCAAATATACACCTATGAGATGGGATAGGGAGACAAATTATTACAGGAAATACTCAAATTTTAAAAAGGTGACTTTTGACCTAAAATGTTTCATGTGAGAGAGATGATGCTGCACGTATTTAAAATGGTAAATGATTACATTGTGATGCCAAAGACACGCACACAAACATATCCAACTTCTTCCCCCTCACCCTCCAAAAGGGGGTATTTTCTAGTGGTGACTCCAACTCCGTTTTGTTACCTGAGACTTCAGATATTTCCAAAAGTCAAAATATTATTTTGTGAAAAGCCCAAAATAGGTAAGCAGTTTAGCAGATTTTGTAGGCTTAAGTTTGAAGTGGGGAAAAAAATAATCTTAAAGGGATTTAAATTAAAGAGCCTTTTTCCAAGCATACAATTCTTCCTTTGCAACTGCAAATATATACAGAACTGCAAATATAACAGCATAAGCTACTGCTCAGGAACCAAAAAGCCCCTTATCCTAGCAATACAACAGAACATGTTGGGGAGAACATGAATGCATCTTAAGGCCATATTTCGCTGGTTCAAATTGTCACTAAGTTAAAAGCACATTTCCTTTAGCTTTGCTACACTGTACCTGAATGCCCCGAGCAGTGAGGTGGTCAAAAAGTGCTTTCCGCATTAGCAATCTGCGGAAAGGAGAAAGATATTATTTACAAACTTGAAGTATATATGAAATTTTCAATGTCTGTTGATGTTCTGTAATAAATTTTCCATAGAGCATTTAGACTCAATGTTTTCCACAAGAAAGTGATTAGAAACCTCATTATAGAAAACTTCTAGTTCAAGCAACTCAAGACTGGTTAACACAGATACCCAGAAATTTGCATTAACTATGGACATTTGTATCAGCTCTTCTGAAGATCAAATCCAGCAGATTCCTCCTTCATCGTACAGGTACCCTGTACCATGTCCGATGAATCAATCCCTTTGCTTTCAGAAGAGATTTGATCCTTCACACCAGAAGACATGAAAACTCTACTGGCCACTCAAGAAATCAAACTAACAGATGTGAAACACAGAAGCAAGAGCCAGAAGACACTGAACTGCAGTCACGTTCAACCTCTGAAAGCATATGACTAAGTTTCCTCTGAAGCACAGGTAGTCTTAAAATGCAAAGTGTTCCGTGTAAGCCAAACAGGATCTCCTCTGACAACATTATGAAACAGTCACAGTCCCATGAAAACACGAAAGCTGCATTCTGAATCTACCTGCATGCTAATTAACTGAACACACTTAACGACAGAAACTAAATAGACTAAATTGGAATAATTCCCACTGTTACTGCACCTCAGTATGTTTCAGAGTATGAAAAATAAAAAGCATACAGGAACACCTACGTAGGATTTGAATATGATTTATGCTGCACTGACAAAAAAGCTAGAAGAAACTGAAAAAAATTACAACATAACAAGTAGCTATAGCAATAGCTAGTCTTAGTTGCTTGAGCCAACTGTTAATATATAGGCCAAGTATAAATGAAAATTTAACAAGATTAAAATCTTACGCATCAGCCAGCCAGATAATAAATTTCTGGCTTCTTGTCATCTTCTGTGGTTCTTTCAGCCTGTTAAAGAACAGGAAACAAAAAATTACCAGAGCACAGATTAAAATATTATTTGAGATGTTCTTGCAAAAGAAACATGAAGAATTAATCTTGCAGTTTCTCAAATTAGCGCAATAATTTCACTAAGACAGTGACTTAGAACAGGGTTACACAAGGGAAATGAGGTACGTTTAAGAGAAGCAGCAGAGACGGGTACTCAGCAGCATTCGGAGTAAAGTATGAGAAACAAAGAGCACGTGAAATCTCATATCCACCCTATTACTGACTTGCCTCTTGGCCTTATTCAGACTAAGTTATTCTCAAGAAAGAGGGAGAAAAGTGCAAGTAGTTATTTGTACAGCACTGCTGCATATTACTATCTAGACGGCATCAGCACAAGCTGCGTTGTAAAGGCAGCTGCGTGAAGGCAGTATTTACAGGAGATGCTGTAAACAGGAAACACTGATAGACACAGGCACCCCACGCTAACACCTGAGTAACTCAGAGCTGGCCAGAGACGGGTTAAATACAGAGGAGCAGAAGATTTGCATAGCTTTCTCTTGGGAATATACAAAAGTGCCTAAACTAGCAAAACAGTATCCTCAGCCTGAGGATACCAACAAAACCAATGCTCAAGCTGGCATTATCATTCACTTGTTTTACTGTCATTTCAGTGCAGCACCCACTGACAGACTCTAACTCACTTGAGGATGATTGAAGGCATGGGAATTTCCAAAAATTCTTCCTTGAAAGGAATGAATGGCAGCAGCCCAGTGTAGAACAGGCCAAGAAGCAGGAGGACACGTTGCAAACAGAAGATGACGGGAATGTCAGCATTCTGCAGGAAACAGGAAAGAAAGATTCTACATTATCTTGGTAGATTGTTGAGTCTGTTGCACTTAAATTTTACATTTAAAGTTTAGCACTTGCACCTAAAGATTAGGCTGCCAACTGTTTATGATATGCCTGCCACTGAACTCAAATTACCCCTTCTGGTAGCTTGTAATCCAAGCGAAAGTTTTATGCAATTTGAAGGAGCACTGGGACCTGAAAAAGTAAAGTTCCACTGGTCGCAGTACTGCTTTTGTTACCTGCCTTCATCATCTTTCCAGACTGCGTGACACTATGCAGCATTTTGTCTTAGGCTAGTATTACCACAAAGAACAAGTTGTGCTTTAGCACAGGACTTGTTACAGTTTGATATCACATCAACTCAATTCACAACACATTTTTAAAGATGCTGGTTTGTGAATCAAAATATTTCGGCATTGATGCTATGAAAATGAACAAATAGAACTGCTGTTCAGGTAGGAAATGGTGTGTTGTCCTGCACAGATAAATCAGAACAATATCTGTACTCTCAACTAGATCAATTTCACTCAGGTGCATAACTCCCTCGGACTAAGCACAATTTTAATTTAATTCTAAATTGTACAATTCCTCAGCACAAAAAGGAAAAGAATCTATAGCTGTAAAACAGCTTTACAGCAATACAACTGGGTGTCAACTAGTGGCCACATCCATTATTTTCATAAAAAGAAACACACAATAAGCAATCCTTAGAAAAACTGCTTTTGTCCCAGATGAATGATGTGCAAAACAGGCTCTAAGAGCTCCTGGCATAAAATCATAACACCCTATATTTTATAGAACAAGAATAAAACATGATTAAGCTTAATTCCTCAAGTATTTTATTGCAGAGTGCATGGGTGTTAGCTGTGCTTGATTTATTGTAACAGTGTAGTAAGCAGAATACAATCTAAATGCAAAATTTCTCATTATATCTGAAGGTCTGGCATAGCTGGCTCGATCTTTGTTTACAGGGTGCTTTTCTGTACATTTTGTCACCACACAGTAACAAGCAGGCGAGAACAAAGCTTAGCTGGACCCATTCTTACCTCTTTAAGACACTTTGATACAACCTCATAATTGACATTCCCCCATACTGTCAAATGCTCTCGCTTATACTGACTCACGAGCTCTGAAACCTGCAATATAAAAAAAGCAGAACCCTAACATGTATTCATTGAAAATTATGTGCAGAATTATTTAACTGAAACTCTACTTGTTAGTTTTCAACTACATAAGTCATTACAGAAAAGATAGTTCTTCTGTACTCTCTCCCATCTTAAGATGACTGTGCTGCTTTGACTGGAAAGAAACAGGCGTTCAGGTCAACAGGTAAAAAGAAAGACCATTATACCTACAAAAAAACCTAGATAATTTAAGAAAACGAGATGGCAAAATAGTATCTGATGGAAAGCAGATTTTCTTTTCTGTAATGAACACTTATCTTTCCACTGACATTATGTTTTTACAATGCTTTGGTAGGCAACAGTCTATAAGGCGACCCTTCATACAACGTACAAGCCATAAACGTGTCTAGCAGGGCAGCATCAGTTTCATGTCAAGATATAGGGTCAGTAAAGAGCTGTTTGCTGAATATCTGGCACAAGATCACTTCTCTGTCTTCTGTATTACCTCATACATGGAGCAAGATCTAACATGCAAAGGATGAAGCAGTCCAAGAACAGAGAATTTAGTGTCACAGACTGCTAGCAACTCCAAGGAACTTTTCTTTTGGAATTTCAACATCATTACACAACATTCAGTCTCAGTACAGCATAGATTTTCATGTACCTTTTTGATCAACACGTTGTTGTTCACTTTGATGTCAATGTTGACAGGAGTTTCTGGAAATGCCTCAAACACCTCTTTCAGGAGTGGAATACGGTTGTCTTTTCCCTCGCAGTGACATTCTGGGGAAACAAGAAAGTTGTCACTGCTGTGACCATTTTTAATACACCACAGATAAAAGCTGAGATGTCAGAGCACTTATCATCTTAAATTTTTTTAAAAAAATTATATAGTTCCTAGAATTAGCGCACTTTTAAACTAAAAAAAAAAAAATTACTTCACTCAGATAGTTGTAACTAATTATGACAAGCTCACGTCCATAATGAAAATACCCTCAGCATATTGCACATTTATGTTTGAACTTCATTAAATTCAGTCATTATTTAGCAACAGTAGGAGTGCAGGCATCGTTAAAATCCTAAAATAGCAAACATGGGCTCAGCTACCACATACCAAATGCAATGAGATTAATATGAAACAAGACCAAATGAGAAAAGCGCCTCCTTCTAGGAAAATTTACCGGAGAAGCATAATGAGTAAAGGGAACAGAAGGCAATCCCCCCAGATTCTATTGTCTGAAACTGCTTGGCTAGGGAATTAACTGAAGGCTCTCGCCATCTCTTCATATCACTGTACATAAACAAAAGATATATATGCGTGAAAATAACACGTCGTGGATCTCATCTTGGTGCGTTTTAAGTATTTCGCAATTTTGAACAGAAATGTTTAACACAAAATTTGCTTGCTGGGCAATTCAATTATGGGAAGGCTACACAAGGCAGTCACAAAGCCCCTCGAGCAAGCAAAGGCATCTGGTATCATCTCTGGTAGCCTTTTCTAGGTGGAAGCACTCTCAATTTTAGCCTGTATGCTTTATTCAAATTATAGTCCCACAAACCACAGTTTTCACAAGAAAACGGATTAATCTTTTTCTAGGTTTTCCTCTCTTGCAGCAATATTGGTACCGAACCTTAAGTCATACGTACAGTAACTACTACTGTTTCCATCCACCCTTCTGAAAACATCTGTATTATCTAACATCTTGTAGTACTTCAAGCCCAGAGTGCACCAGCACAAAGGCATTTGAGTTATAAAGAAGCTCTCTTCTGCCTTCTCTTCATTTTTTGATACAACAAATTTTCAATCAGCTCCCTCTGATGATCTCACAAGGGAACTGGGAAGCAGTTGCAGGAAGTAAACAAGCAAACAATTGAAATGTTTACTTGGAAAAAACATATCTTACATCTTAAACTTAGTCACTGCCAGCTGGTATCAAAAAAATATATTTTGGTTTCTAAAGCTAGGACTATATTTTCTTTTTAAAACTTCTCTTATCAAAATACTGATAGAAGCAAATCCACTTTTCTACTCCCTTGGCCAAAATAAGAAATTGCCACACTACAATAATGGAAAATTAGTTACGGGTACTGTCAACTGGAACAGCAAAAGACAAAAACTTACCTTTCTGAAATGTGACATCCAACTTGCAGAGATATGGTGGAAGTTCCTTAGAAATAAAGGGAAATGGAACACTAATTCAAATGCATAATCTTGACTTTTCTCGAAAAAGACAAAAGAAGTTACAAATCCTAACCCACGTAAGTTACTTTTAAAGACAAAAATATTTTTTTTTTAAATCTTCTTGCCCAGAAAGTGATTTAGAAGTACTGTGTTCATTCTTACTTGATCTGTTTGGCATTCTTAGACTTGCGTTACCTGTAGCTGAGTAAGGCAAAACGTTTTTAGATGCCTGTCTGAAAATTCTAAGAATTCCACTTAAAATATCAGATGGAAAGACAGTTCTGTAAAACAGGCTTTTAAAACGGTCAATGCAGGTGGGATTCATCTACTGGTTCTCCCATTAAAAAGCTGGTCATACGAGAAGGAGCTTGTTGACTAAACTTCCTTTGTTATCAGTATGGCAAAACAGGCCCACCTCCAGAAAGCTGTTCATCCTACCTATGATTGCACAGAGTTAATCACCCTCTGGAAGCGTCCCGGTTTTCCTCCCCTGACTACAGAGGGAGCCTAGTTAACTTTTTTTTTTTTTTTAGTAGGACAGGGTGAATCCCCTCCTTAGATTCTGGATACTAGACAAACACATACATGCACACAACCTTCCTGCCCACCCCAGCCACTCTACAAATGCATTTTTAAACACCATCCAGCACTAACGTTTTTTTTTCCAACTTACAGAGTATTTGAGGTCAGATATGTTGACATCAACTCCTGTTGATCTCTTCAGGTTCTCATCATGGGACACAACCACTTGCTCATCTTTCGTCAGGTGACAATCTAGCTCCAACATGTCTGTTCCTATATTAACCGCACTGGAAGCAAAGAAGTCTGCCTTGAACCACACATGTATTTGATAACAGGTCCAAACCTAACTCAGATATGTTATCCAGTTAAACTGATCCCAGTGGAGGTACTTTAGATGCTTTTTGATGGAATGAATCCTCATAATCTTGTTGCAAAGCAAGAAGCAAATAACTGCTGCAGTGGGAAAGCTGATGCAAGAATAAACAACATATCGTGCATCAGACATGGGATTTGAACTCAGGAGCTTTGGCTCCGTCCTCCTTAGAAATCAAGCAGCATACCCGTCGACTGCAGCCTACCACCTCAGTATTGAGAAACCTACTTCTAAAGTATTGCTTCAGAATTTTGAGCGTGATGTTTATTAGTATCAGCACGTTTACCACTGGAAGAAGTGAGCTCTTTTAAAAAAAGTAATCAATTTTGTGGTAAGCGTAAACAACATACGACAGGGATGCGAAAGCCTTTTTTTACTTGATTTAAGTTAATCAGGAATGGATGGCTTGGGAAATTAGCAATGGTGCTTTCAGGCTTTTGGCTAGCAAAACTACATTTCAAAAAGTTATTATTATTTGGATGAAAAAGTTTTAATTTTAAATTTAAAAAAATAAACCACTAAAACACCCAGTCATATTTTTCAAAGAAAAATAGCTATTCCTGTTCCAATCCACTGCTTTGAAAAGTTCTAATCCAATCCCAAATCCACTCTATAGAAGCTTAGCTCATAGTAGGAGTAAAGAAAGCAGAAAGTAGTAATAGTACTGATGAAAAATAAGAAACCTTCCACCAGAACAGAAAAACTAAGCTTTATTCCAAATTGAGAAGCGAATTGCTCATTTCATTAGAAAAGATACTCAGAAGGTGTCGTTCCAGCAGACAGCTAAAAGTCCCAGCCTGAAGCCTCAACACCTCCTTCAAAGCACTGGGCTGTTCTTTTTACCCACCTACAGACAAACGTGTAACATCTGTCAGCACAGTCTATACCGGACCCAAAGCTCTGCGACTTCAGAAACAGCCTTTTCCTTAAGAAAAGGGCTTTATTGACTGCTGAAGTACAGACATACCATAAACATTCACAAATGCAATAATAAAACAAAAAAAAAAATTAGAATATACTCCCGTAAGTGTTTAACACAATTTCTGGTCCAGCTGGGATAATGATCAATAGAGGGGTTGTCAAATTAAAACCAATTTGTTAACTGTTTTCCAGTGCCACTAATTAAGAATTAGGAGAGGAAGAAAATCCTATTGCACATGGAAGATACACAGCCTGTTCTGTGTAATTTTTCCTCCTGAGGAAAAGCATCGCCAAATATGCTGCAGGAGATTTGCCAAATTTGCAGAAGATGTTCCCATCTAGTCCCACGTGTTATCATTTAACCAGCAAACTTTATTAGAAATATTACTGCTTAAGAAATTCAGGACCGATGCTGCGTGGAAAAAGAAGAACAACAACCTGCCTTGTTAACAAATTTGAAAATTTGCCAGGCTTTTACTAGCAGCTTGCTGCGAAATACAATTCCTTGAAGCGCTGCGTTTTTTCAGCTGGAAATCAGTTTGTTCTGCAGCTCTGTAATAACGCATCAAATCTACGTTGCTCCAGAGAAGGCTCCAGATGTTCTCCAGATTCAGGAGAACGTGTTGGATTCAGATCCAACTGCCCCAGAACTCAAGTTGTGAAGCAGACTCACATTTGCAAATTAGGATGATAGAGCTCTTTGCCTGTGTTTAACTTCAACTGTTTTCAAGTAAAAGGGCATACCAGGAAATATATAAAAGCCTTACCTTGGAAACTAAATTCCATTAGGCAAGGCCTAATGCAGCACAATGTATAGAGTTTATAAATACTAAGTTGACCACATACTTTTACTGCTGTAACTACAGTGTTTAAAAGCTTTCTCTCTAAATCAAGTAAGTTCATAAAAGAAATACCATGAGAAAAATATCAGGAGAGTTTACTTAGCAGCTTCTTGTCAAGACCATGCTAATACATGGCTGTATTAGGGACAATTAAACACGTAATTAAATTCATATGATGTTTTTATGCCAGATCCCCAAATACTTTAAGACACTGCAAGTATCTCTTTTAGCTTAAAATCAATTATTTTAAAATCTAAAACCACCACAGAAGCATTTAAATACAGTATAACATGATTACAGCCAAAAAAATCTATTAGGTATTTTACCATGCAAACAAAAAAAAATACTGTCTTTGGTAGAAAAAGCTTATAATTGCCTTCCAGAATATTTGTAAGTTAAGCTAGTATAGAACTTGAAATTACCAATAAGGCCTTCCCCACACACACACTTTGTTTATATATTACTATAATAATTTCTTCATTATCATGCAACAGTATTAAATATTCTCCAATCACTGTTAAAGTGTAAATAGCATAAATAAAACTATTTGCTTGTCAATATTTAGATTACTGTCAACAAAGCAAAAGCAAGGAGGTTGCAGACAAGCATTCCCTTCCAGATTCAACTACATCGATGGTCAAATATGCCTGCTTGTCCAAACCTGCAGAAACAGCTCTTGGCAGGCATGCCCCATTTGGCTTCATGCAAAATTTGATGGATTATAAATTGATTAGTTCATATCAGCCATCTGAGCCAATCCAGCTGGTTTTTCACCATGCAGATCACCAGTCTTCTACCCAATTCCTTTTGCTAGCTTACCAGTGGAGATGGGAATGAGCAGATGGGAAGGACAAAGCCTTTACCCCTCGACAGAGGAAGCCAGAAGACTTTCTACTGCCTAATGCAAAGTAATCGCTCTGACTCTGCTTTCTGCAGAAGTAACATGCCGTTATTATTCAGCCGAGACAATTTCAAAACAAGTAACTGAACTTTGCTATTGATAGTTGTGACGAGTTCAAAAAGCGGACCTCAACGCATTTGTTACGCTATAGTCGTAAAATAAGTAAAATGGTCAGAAGAGAGTCAGACAAATGTCTGTATTATCTCAAAACATTATTTGACTCCTAGCACAGTCCTTACTCTTAAGTACTGCAGCTTACTTCTGGGAATGAAATAAAAATAGGTTACGGTATAACTTTCTTTGTAAGAGCCCTATACGTATAAAACCAGTATGATACTAAATGAAAATTAAGAAACGGTTAAAAAAAAGCAGCACTTCCCAGAAACTGTGGTAGCAGACTTGGAAAAAAAGGCAGGCCAGCAGGAAAAAAAACCCACAAAACTATGCTAAGCTTCCATGGAGATAGAAAATAGTGCTGTACTTTCAATAGCACTGTTTGGTTGGGAAAGCTGGCACTCCTCAGTCTGCAAGGAAATGTGCAAACTGATGAGGGTACTTAGCACAAAGCAAATAAAAAAAACCAAACCAAACCAAGAGAAGCCTACATAATTTGGTCACTGCTCATTGGCAGCTGGAGTTTTAGATATGCTGCTTCTTCAAATGCCTTTGAGAACCTTGTTAGAATTCACTACTTAAATGCTGGAGGCTTAAAAGGCTTTCCAGTACCAACTCCATTTTAAACCCCTAGATAAGAGGCTTTCACACATTGTGCGAATGAAATATCCCTTTATAAAGGGAAAAAACATAACACAAACATTTTTAATAGTTTTACAGATGGTATATGAAAAGGTAGTTAACATTAGGATTTCAGTCACAATAATTCTGGGAGACAAGTTATTAACCTTCTATATAGAGGAGGGAACTGAAGACCATGAAACTGTGGAATATCTGAGAGAACTGCTTACAGCCATCATAGCAGTCAACAGGTTCAGACTTCCTGAAATCCAGCCTTGTATGCTAACTGGCATATTGGTATAGGCTATGATCAGAAATACCTTTTGAGAGACATCAATGTATCTAGAAAAATCAGTGTATGATAGCAGTTACGAAAAATAGCTTTATAATGATAAGTTAACGGAAGCAATTGCCATTAAACATGGAAGCAGTATTGTTTCATGTTTTATTAGCTAGCACAGGAGGAATCAGGCCTCAGGATTTTTATTTCCAATTGCCAGTCTACCACATTATTGTGTACAAATCATAGTTTGTGGTATCTCAATTCCTTCTTTTTGAAACTGGAGTAACATTTAGCAATCCACAGACGTCATCCAAAGGAGAGATGACTTGTAGAAATAGGACACTGTACCCCAAGCAGCTGATGGAAGTCCTATCTTTCTCGATTGCTTCACTCACGAAAGACAATGAGAACACTACTAATTTAGGCATTATTGGCTCCATTTGTACTCACTGGTGAAAGGCTGCCATCGTGTTTTCCAGATTCTCTCCAGCACCTACAAAAATAACAAAAACTATAACATGTTACAAAACCATTTTCCTCCCCTCAATCCCAGTGGAAATAAATAAAAAAGAATGGATTTTTAAAAGTACATATTTTGAGGAGGTATTTGAAGGAATGAGTATGAAGTTAGAGTCAGAAATCCCTGTTGCCACTAACCTACTGGGGAGACCCAAGAGACAGGACTTGACAGGACTTTCTCAAGATAAAACAATTAAAAAAAAAAGAAAAAAATAGGCAGCTGTTATCTTGGATTTGTGTAACACTTTGAATATACAAAACAAAGTGGGTTTTTTACCAGAGGTTGGGCACCCTGTTTTTCCTTAAAGGCGTTGTATTTGGCTATGACAATATGCTCCACAGGCACAGGAACAGCATATGCAAAAAGTCTATTTCAGAGTTAGAGGACTACTAAGAGGAAAACAGTGACAAGAGGGGACACACACACACACACACACACTCTCTAAAGCTGATATTCCCTAAACGCGTAACCCAGTTGATGCTCCAAGAGGTGACAACCTCTTTTTTCAGTGCAAGGATACCTCCTGAAACAGCACAAATCTGTCAATAAAGGCTTATGCTGCTGGCAAAGAGAGGTCTCACACACAAGGACAGAAACACACATCAACTCCAGTTAAGAAACGAAAGGACACGCAAATTAAATTTTCTCTTAGGCAGGAGTAAACTCTGCAACTCTTAAGCCATCATTCTCTACATAAAAATCTTTGAAAATCAGCCTGCTTAGGGCCTGGGAAAGGTTGTGCCTTCTCCCTCCCTCAGAAAACAGGCAATATTATATACTGAAAAACAAAACAACTTCAGGAAAATACATGTACTGATGAGGATATCTACGCACATTTTAACTCCTCTTTGACAGTGATGAGTGACAGACTTCGTAAACAACAATCATAAAAGCTTCAATTAAGGCCTTGCCTATTAACAAAGCCTTACCCGTACATACTTGCCTGTGTTTAGTTACTTAATCAAAGCAATGCAATTCTACGCATGCATAACTAGCAATTTAAAATTGTTGTTATCAGGTCAGCTTGCATTGGTAAGTTTACAAAATGAAAGACTCAACGACATTGAATTGTAATAAAATCGTCATGGTTTAACGTAAACCAATACAGTAAGTCCACAGCAGCTTCTCTGATTAGACATTTACCAATATTTTATGGAATTTGATTGCAGAACTAGGAATAAGCTGAGTGGCAAAAGTGACCAAGGGATAGAGGAGAGCATGAGAATCTCCTTGTGTACTGATGACTACCTGACAGATGGGAAAAACCTGCATAGAACCTGGATGATTAGTTATAAGTTAACTGCAATAAAAATTGAGGTTTTAGATAACATATCAGCTGTGACAATACAGTCCACATATCCTGAACGGTAAGAGAGGGGGGAAAAACCTGATTCAGTCTTCAATTTGTGAACAAAACAACAGTATTCTAACATTCCTGGGCAGAAATTTCCAAAAATAAAACTTTAATCTAACGAGTCACATGTTAGGGAGGTAGGTATGGCGAGTCAAACCAGTTGGTAACAAAACGCCTGTCTTGTCGCATTTTGGGGAAATAATGAAAAAAGTTGAGAGATCAGCTGAAACAGGAATTCTAAATCAGCAACATGGCTTTTGCAAACCACACTCAGAAAAGGGAACTACGACAAGCAAGTGATTTGATGTACTAAAACATTTTCCCTCCTTAAAAATGAAAAGGCTGGGCTGACTGCAGGGCTTCTGACATTTACTTAAACACGCCTCCACGTTCACGTATTGTGTTGTGAACTACGTGCATTTCCCATGCAGAAATTACCTTCCCCAGCATGCTTTAGCATTCTGTGAGCCAAAATGGCCACATCCAAACATTATGATTGCATACTCTGAACTTTGAAATCACCACAATGGGACAAGAAGTCAATGTCAAGCACTGGCTCAAGGAGATGACCCTCAGAAGTTCTGTTGGTTTGGGTTTTTCCCCCCAATGTAAGCAAAGAAGTGCGTTAGCAAGAATATTGCCGGCAGGTCAAGGGAGGCGACTGTGCCTCTCCACTCAGCACTGGTGATACCACATCTGGAGTGCCGTGCCCAGTTCTGGGCTCCACAGTACGAGACAGACATGGATCTATGGGAGATTATGTACAGCCTTGGGAAGGGCTGTGAAAATTAAGGGATGAGAGATTCTTGCATACAACGAGAGGCTGAGGGTGCTGGAATTGTTTAGCCTGGAGAAGAGAGGCTCAGGAGGATCCTACCAACATTTGTAAATACTGGATGGGAGGAAGTAAAGAAGACTGAGCCAGACATTTCTCAGTGGTTCCCAGGGAAAGGACAAGACGCAACAGGAAAAAACTGAAATACCAAGAAATTCAGTCTATAAACATAAGAAAACCCCCTTTTTTTTATTGTAAGAGTGATCAAACTCTGGAACAGGCTGCCCGGAGACGTTGGGGAGCCTCCATCCTTGTACGTATTCAAAACCTAACCAGATAAGGTCCTGATCAACTTGCTCTAGTTGCCCCTGCTCTGGTCAGATGAGATGATCTCCAGAGGTCCCTTCCGATTTCAACTATTCTGTGATTCTGTAAAAATCATCATGCTACCCTGTCTCAAAGACCCTGCAATCCAGTCCATGCAGCTGGCATTGATAGAGGACTCTAAGACAGAAAATCAAGACTTAATTATTGATCTCAGAAATGACCAATTTTAAAATCATGCAGAAGCGAAGAAATAATTCAGGGATGCTTCCACTGACGAGCTATAAACTGAGATAAGAAAATTCTTGCATGAAGAAACCCACAGACTTAAAAAAAACTTCACATACAAGGCTTCATCTCAGAGAGGAAAAGGCCAAACAAGTTAAGTGTTACCTTGACCTCTGAAGTTAACAGGAGTAATGCAATAGGAAACCTGACACTGCATCTAAAGCTACAGCATGACTAAAGCCTGATGAGAACTTAAGTCCCGTAGGAATTTAAGTTATAAGGTAAATACTACAGAAAGTAAAGAGTAAGCAATCTTCAGTCTCATAGTACCTGATAAGCAAAAAGCTGCCGAGATATTAAGGGTTGTACTTCTACCACAGGTGTATTTCACAGTACACATGTGGACACAGAACAATTCGAAGACCGTGGACTTTGTCTCTGAATGCCTAATGAATAATCCTCCCATTGAGTAAGGCTCTCCTGTTGTTCTAATGGTGCTTAGCGCAACTGGCTGAAACACTTGCATTCTAGGCTTAGGGCTGTATATCTTAACTAAGGTCACTGCAAAGAAGTGAGAACAAAAGGAGATTAAAGAGATCATACCAAGTTCCAACAGTCATCTGCAGGTTTTTAACAGCTTGCAAATTAACAAACAGATAACAGTCAAAATTGAGAACCTTTGCTCGTTGCACGAAGATACATACCTACCAGGAAACAGCTAATATATGTATTCCAAACCAAAAGGTGCATTTTATGCCATACTTAAAACTATCGTTATAAAGAAACTTAATCTGTCGTATAAACTAAATGAAAGAAACGCAAGTAATAAAATCTGTAAGAGATCAGCTCTAATTGTTGTATTTTAGTCATTCAAGGCGGTACCTGTAGTTAAGGACCATTGACTAAAATGGTGAACACTGCATGAACTGGCACTAGATACAACACTGAAAACTGTTTCAACTCAGCATCTGACATATCTCCCGCAGAATTTCGGGAGAAATATTTACTAAAAACCAGACTATTTTCACGAATTGAATGAGGCAGCAGGGGAAAGCGCAGAACTGATCTTCACAGAACAGGAAAATACAATTTGCTGTATTGTTTTTCCTCCCGACGCTTTGGAAAAGGTAAATGAAACTTTACAAACATCTTTTAGCTATTTCAGGTAGAAGCAACCAGCCTGCCCACAAGGCCTGGGTGCAAGGTGTACGGAGGGGATAAGACTCTCAAAATGGGATCGGTTTTACCACGGCACTGAACCATTAACCATCTCCGACAGCAAGGGGAGCAAGAACAGAATCACAGCAAACTGCATTGCTTCCAAAACCAGAAAGCCAAGCAAACAGGCAATTAGAGGCAGGAAGACTGACCTTTTGTACCTGATCTAAGCAACAGTCAGCCGCCTCTCTCATTAGGAAGAGAAATACCGAAACACCGAATCATTAGGAAGAAAAAATACAGACGTTTGAGAGGGAAACCATCCCGATCGGAACCCACGTAAAACAAGCCGATTTCGGCTGACGCGTTTTGAGTTCGGAGATTAATTCAGCTTTGAAATCAAGCACTGGTCAGCAGGTGGCACCTAAAATTAGGTTGCGGGAGGAAGGTTTAGAGGGAGCCCGCTGCGAGCGACGGGCACGGCGCAGCAGCCCCTCGAGTCCCTCCCGGCAGGGCTGGGGCAGCGCCCGCCCGCAGCAGGCGGCAGGGAGAGAGGCGTCCTGGGGGAGCGGGGGGACATCGGCCCCCGGGGGCGGCCGCCGGGGCCAGGGGAGCCCCTCAGCGCCCGGGGCCGGGGAGGGCTGCAGCCCTCAGGGAGCGGCGGGGGGGGGGCGCCCCCGGCCGCCCCGGGGGGGGGGGGGG